CCGAGGGAACCCGATTTTGGGGTATCTGCATGTATTGGACCAGTGCATCATCCGATCGAACCATTGCTCTTCGGCTTGTTCGTACTGTTCTTTTCCGGAAATCAGTCGACTAGTTGGTAAAGTTTAGTAAGGCAAATGTAGGATGTCAGTTAAGACAGTGATGTCTGTTGGGCAACACATTTTCCCACACACTATGTCACTTTCAAAAGCACCTTATACCTAAAAGTTGTTAAAAAGATGTCGGGTTCGCTTTCCGCTGCCACCAGTGTAGCGTCCCGAGGCTCCAAATGGGTAGTAGAAGGCATAAGTGGGGTTGAATACATGTATTCCGAAAGCAATAGGAGAAATGGGGCCTGAGCGTGGCCCGAAGGCCTGCCCACGTGTACAGGGCCCAGACAAGTCCTAAAGTGACCGCCAAACGTCAGAGTGTCGCATAAACAAAGCATTACAAGTGAGGCTGGATACATGTATTCTAAAGACGACAAAGCAACTGAACCCACCAGTACAGGGGCCAGGCAAAGCATTACATTAGTCGCCACTGCTTTGTGTAGCACGCATTTTAGGTCAGTAAATGCATTGCGGCATATCACGACGTCTTTGTCGTTAACAGGGAGTAAAAGGCATGGGTGTTTGCTTGCAGAATTGCAGATTTTGTCTCTCCAAAGGCCAGCCTGCACAGTCGAAGCAAGATTGCCTAATTTGTGATGAATCTTCACACAGGCATGCAATCTGTTTTATCCAAAGTTTTGTACTACATAATTACGATTCTGCATTTATTTTTGAAGGAATTTGAGAACATATTCTTGGATCGCCTTCCTCGTCGCATCAGCAGAGGTGGATACATCGACTTTGGAAACTAGTCCATCGGATTCTCCCCTTAGCCGTTCATAGGCCGGCTGGCCTACTGGCAGTTCCATTAACCCCACCCCCCGTTTGTTGAATGCCTACCCTTCTCGCAATCGCCATCACAGATATCTGGGAACGTCACATTCTTCTCCATATTTTCGCGGATGCGCCCAGTTATCATATTCTTCTCACCTTAGTGAAATTTCGCCATATCATATCATGTCTGATAAATGACATCCGAACTTCCCTACCGATTCCATGCAAAGATAACAGTTAACATTGAAGACTACCTTGTGGGATCAGGAACTAGAAGCCCTCCGTTCGCATTGAACGGAATCAGAACCGTTTTCCCCACTCAGTGCTACAAAATAGGAAGCGATACATGAATGCACACATTCGAAGTATAAATGGGATACGCATGTTTGTTCTAAGCCAATGCCATGTCTAATTATTCTCTAACGCGTTGAGTTTAGGAGGCGGTAAGAGGTACTTTTGTCTTCCACTCTAACAACTTCAATTCGACATTGGATGGCGTGACTCAACGCCAAAGAGGGTTTGAGATACCCGAATTAGAAACAGCACAAGTCCAAACGGCCGCACTGGTGACTTGAAGCGGGAGATCCAGTCGGCAGCAAAGTTCAAAATTGGGAAACAATACTGTGCCCATTTGGTCCAACCAAAAAGAAATAACGTTTTAGGTCCTCTTTTGTAATACAAAAGCTAATTGCATAATAGATCGACAGTGAGGTGACGTCCAACCCCTCAATCGGTCAGCGAAATCATGTTGAGGTAAGAAAAATTCACTACCCAGACTGACGCAATAAACAAGTAATAGATTACCATGGCTACAGATATGAGGAAAATGATGGTGGTCAAAGAGATACGCTAGACTCACCATCCCGGTGATACTTACACTCAGCAACATGTTTAGAATTAAATACGACCCATAATCAACTGTAATGAATTAAACTTCAATGACCCCACATTAAATCGCTCTGCTAAGAGGAGTAAACGGCCTGAAGGAAAAATCTAACATACGGAAGAAAACGTGTCATCCAAAAATGCTGAATCTACAAAACACTCAAAGTCACCACCTCAAATCAGTCCCATCCAATAGGCACGCTGTAAGTGTTGCAATACAAATGTATTCGAAACAGTCAAACGCAGAGTATCCAATCTACATGATGGGCGGTGGAGGTGGAGGTGGAGGAATCCCAGCTCCCGTCAGTCCCCATGGCTGGACTCCACCCGCCAATTGCGGTGGCGGAGGAGGCGGTGGTGGCGGAGGGTGAAAAGCTGCATCGGCAGCGGCGAAAAGAGTTGGCGGAGGCGGAGGTGGGGGTGGAGGAGGCATCAATCCTGCCCCGGCAGCGCCCAACATTGGGGGTGGCGGTGGCGGCGGAGGCGCCAGTGATATTGACGGAGGAGGTGGCGGCGGAGGGGGCATCAGCATTGAGGCAGCACCCGCGGCGGTAAGTGTCGAGAAAGCCGCCGGATGTTGCACGGCGCCCGGAATACCCGCGGTAGCAGCAGCCAAAAGAGTTGGAGGTGGTGGAGGAGGAGGAATAGGAGCATCTGCAAAGTGCTGGTGAGGGCGGTCAGCCTAGAAAAAAACAAACGAAATAACGTCGTAAATAATAACAAAAAGACAATCCTTCATCAACAATCAGTTACTTGAGAAAGCGGGCTCTGAGCAGCAAGAAGACGTTCAGCTGCCGATCCATGGCGCTCGCCTTTACTGTCCTTCTTAAAAGCGTACGAGATGGTAATGGCCCGGTTGCAAAGATACTGTCCGTTCATAGCCTCGATCGCTGCATCACTGGCTTCGAAACTGGCATAATTTATGAAAGCGTATCCCTTCGAATTACCAGTTTCAGGGTCGCGCATGATCTTTGGCGTTTGAAGGATGACGCCAAATGCGCTGAAAGTGTCATAGAGCAATTTTTCATCCACCTCAGGGTCCAAGTTACCTATGAAAATGTTGGCGCCAATATCCAAATTCTTCTGATGAGCACTGGCCTTGTTTACACGAATGGGTTTGTTGTAAAGCTTAATCATGTTCATTATTCGCATGGCGTAGTCCGCATCTTCTTCAGAGAGAAATTCGACAAAGCCATATCTATTAAAAAATAAATACATCAGGCATATTAAAAGATGATAGTCATATGTGAATTTGACACTATCAGTCAAGCGGAACATTATCAACCATTAAGGAAAATGTTCGAAAGATTAAGAGTTATAATAATCACAATAAAGGGCTCCAGAAAACAATAACATCTCGATACACAACTAAAACTGGTGATGTTTAAATCCCAATGTGCTGCTTAAGTATGAACCACATTGCTATTTAAAAAGGCAAGAAAACCATTCAAATTCGGAAGGATGTCAAGACGCATTTGCCATCTTCAAGAATGTGTGATAAATGTTGAACGTGTAACACTTTCGGACTCAAAGATCATTAGCAAATACGCCGAAATTCCATCGAAGAAAGGAAGGATAACTTAAGCGTACCCCTGGTGCTGCCCCGTTATCCGATCTTTGGGCATGTGAACGTTGACAACAGGCCCGGCTTGAAGGAAAAGCTCCCATAGTATCGCTTCTTTTGTTTTCTCATCCAGTCCACCAACATATATAGTGGCATCCTGATTTCGCTCCTCCACAGGCCCCGTAGCCATCACCAACAGTTGCCTATGTAATGGGTAGTCGAAAAATGCGACAAACACATTAAAACGATAAAGGCGCCTGTAATGCAAAATGAAATGTTAGTACTAGTGGTCTAAAAATCATTTAATTACAAAATAGTTGCATATAAATTGCATGCAGTGAAAATTTTATTTTTGGTTGGGAGCAAGAATCCGTAAATTGCAGATTTTGAGGAGAATTAAATTTTTATCACCATTTAGTGCACCTAAATGATTAGGTGATTGGATCCATCAACGTAATTGTGTTGATGTTAAAGCTGTTCTAAACTGCCTTTTAAAAAATTTTTACAATTTTCAGAGATCTCAAAACTGTGAAGTGAAAACACTAGTTCAGTCTGAATTCACTGGAGCCAATGGCATGGAAAAATGACACTTACAATCGGTCTTTACTAGTCATACAAAATATTGACAGGCATGCTGGGAGTAAGCGTGCTTCCAAGCCAAATTATACGTTTGGGAAGCGAAGTTGGAGCTGCTAAACTTTGAATTCCTAAGAAGAATGGAATGATTTGGCCACTCACTAATACGAAGAGATGCGGCGATATCGCATAGCAGTCTAGTTCAGGAAGGAATTTTCAAGTTGTGATGCAGATGAACCACAGCATAGATTATATCTTATTAGGTGGGAACAGCAAAACGGCAAATATATTAATTTCGAGCTAGTCTAGCAACCACCATATGCAAAACAGACAGAATACGGGCTTGGATGTGAATTTATTGCATGCCATATTGGTGAGGGCTGGCTTGGCAAAAAATTTAAGTGATTTTGGCAAAAAAAGTTGGGACTCAACATGTGAGATAAGGTTTTAAGTTGCCAAGTGGACGCTGTACCGATCAGACGACTAGTGGTTCCGTTCCAGATGGTAGGAATGACAATTCTAGAGTTGCATGATGGAGTTAAACCGTAGAGACCTCAAGAAATATGTGCAAATGGGCTCCACTAGCACCAAAGTTATCTATAACATGCTTTAATTGCAGTGTCTAAGCCATTTTCATAAAACTTTGGCTTCGATTTATGCGCATGAATTTCCCATCGCGGGTCGGCTATGAATGACTGAGAAAAGAAAATCTTTGTAAATACGAACGAGTACTTTGCTAAGGCAACTTAGACAAATTCTGTGCAGAGGTAAAACGTACAACGAGCAATTACTTTGGTGTCTGGTCGTCAATTTGCAACGCTGTCTTGCTCTTGTACTCGTAAGCTGGCCTTCGAACCATGCCCATGTCCCGTCGTCTTCGGAATACATGTATCCAACTGCGTTTACTGCCTTCTTCCACCCTATGGGAAGCCTCGGGACGCTACACCGGTGGTAGCGGAAAGCAGAGGTAGGCTCGCTGCAGCTTGTTCTCCGTTGGTAGTTTGTTAAAATCGACATAGTCTCCTGGAAAATATTGTGCCCAACAAACATTGCTGTCTTACTTGCATTCTGCCTTTGGATTACTAAACGCTGCCAATTAATGGACTGATAACCGGAAAAGGAGAGTACGGACAAGTCGACGAGCACTGGTTCAGTACCTACAAATCGCACCGGATCTGGAGATATATGTCGCATGTTCGTGGTGCTGATGTTCTGGGCTTGAGAATTTTTGAGCCTGATAATCTGTTGGACCCCAAAATTGGCCTTCCTTAGCCGAAAATTCAAAAACAGTCAAGACCGCAATGGGATTCTACTTTTATTTGAGAAATCCTATATTAATAAGCTCATTTCGGCGTTGTGCACTGGCAATTATGAGTCATACATGCACAGAAGTAAGGCTGACTTTATCGAAGTGCAATAGAGGAAAATACTGACGAAAAGGCGACGTGAATTGAAGAAGGCGCATTTACCTTTGTGACGGACAATCCTGAATCCTTCATAGACAATCTATTAACAAGTGAAGCGACACCACCGTGAACTATGTGGAGCAGTTTCGTGTCGGAAATGACACAACGGTTTTCCTTACATACGGCACAGTGGCTCATCCCGTTTCCCCTGTAACAAATATGTTTTAGAATAGCGTTGCACCGTCTATTCCTGCAAGAAATTGATGTTCATGAGGTGTATGCGGCCCCGAATCTGGTTGTCGGACCAAGCGTAGCTCTGGACCAAGTTGGAGCTGCTGATGAGACCAGATAAGGTTCCTCATTCTCATGCTATCTGTCGACTGGCGCGGTTTGCTCGTGGGTGCTTCCTTGTAGTACCGAATATGATTCGATGGGTGGTGCGGGAGGTGTACCAAAGTGTAGCGCTGAAGACGTTGATCAAAAGAAGAGAGTGGTAGTGTAATGTTTTGTTTATGTGACTACCAGATAGTTGGCTGTCACTTTGGGATTTGTCTAGCCCTTGAACTCGTGCCATGCTCATATCCATTTGTCCTGCCATCTTCAGAATACATGTATCTAACTGTACTTACTAAGTTTTTTTAGCAGTGGGAAGGTCTCGGGGCGCTACACCTTCAAAGGTCATGAAAACTACTACATGGAAGTACATTCGATAAAAGTATTTTTGAGTTAATTTGCATATTTGGTGCCTTTGAGATAACTAGAGCTGTCCTGAAGATTAGCAGTCAAAGCAAATGCAATCTTGTATTCTTTTCAGACTAGATATCTTTATCGATGATATAAGTATCATCTATCAAAGCCTGCCGTTTAACTATCTGCGTTAAGATATCACAAAACTCGATAATTTGAAGTAAAAAATATTATTTTTAAAATTTAAACTACATTTATAAAAACTTAATTCTTTTAACTAACTATAAGGCGCAATGGCAAGGTGAAATATGCATTGAGCTTGAGTTGCAGGGGGAGCCTTTTTTCCTCCCTATAGCACCGGCGGGCACTTCGATCCTGAGGCTGGTAGGTGTCTGCGTTGGGTCGCTGCTTGCATGGTATTCCTTTTCAGGCCACCTTTTTATGGAAATTTTTTCATTATATTTACCTTTTATTAGTTTGGTTTAAAGCTATGATTGTGAGCCCTGCCTTTTTGTTCTTTTTAGTTGCTTCTATTATTTATCGGAGCTTGTGCTGCATTTCCTCCTCATATATGTGATATTGGAGCGCCGTTATGGCAGTTCCTTACTTGGTTAAACTTTTATCACTGCCATGTTTTTCTTTTAAAGAAACCTTGATGTATATATTTCGTTCATGATTACTTGGAGTGACCGAAAATGCTTCCCCTCTCTTCGCGTTTCATGAAGTGTGGAGTGACACCCCTCCGCGTTTTTCGTGGTATGGTTGATGTACCGATACCCTACCGAATCACTCGATCGCCAGTATCTAAAAAGCTTATCACTGCTACCTCCATGACTCCTCAGTCCTTTTTCAGTCGTCAGCTTCACATCCATGTTCAGGTGGATCCAGACACGAAGAATCAATCCCTAGATGTACGTGGTGGGCATCTTTCTTGTAATATACCTTCTTGGTAGAAAGCAACGGATGCTATGATAATTCGTCGATTGTTTGGTTACATCTGGCCTGCTGACAATCCTTCCATTCGTTATCGTGTGGTTACTGCATTTGGTCTGCTATTGGCTGCTAAATTGGCCAATGTTGCTGTCCCTTTCATCTTCAAGTACGGAGTTGATGTTATTTCCGGTGATGCGCCAATTCTCCTATCTAGCTGTTCTCCTACAACTATGGCAATCACCACCATGCTCACTTGCAAGTATCATTTCACTTTTTACATAGTTATCTTTTCCTAAACCGATTACTATAATATAGGAGATTATTTTTTTCTTAAAAAAGTTCTAGGCACGTATTTTGCGTCTTTAACACTGATCTTTGTTTGTTAAACTTAGGAAGCTGCTGAATTTTCCTTCACTTAGATGGTGCTGTGCGTGCAGCTGCTTCCGGTTTAAACGAGCTTCGCAATGCCGTTTTTGCGAAAGCTGCTCATTCGTCCATTCGGAAGGTTGGCGCGGCCGTTTTCAGCCACGTTCTTTCCCTTGATCTTGCCTATCACCTCGACAGACGGACGGGCGCCATTGGTAAAGCAATAGATCGAGGTGCACGCGCTATCCAATTCGTTCTCATAGCTCTTGTCTTCAATCTCCTCCCAACTCTTTTGGAAGTTAGTTTGGTGACTGCCATCCTCGTGAGTGATTCCCACCTTCCATTCTACCCACATCTAGCTTTGCGCTGAAGTAAAAGTCAGCCTCGCATTTCCCTTTTGGTGTTTTCCAGTTCCACAAGTATGGTTTCGGGTGCAGTACAATTGCTCTCCTCTGCATAAGTGTATACACAGCTTTCACCTTGGCTGTGACTCGTTGGCGAACAGAGTTTCGACGTGAGATGAACAAGGCCGACAGTCTAGCGGGGAGTCATGCTACTGATGCTATGATAAATTATGAGACAATTAAGGTAAGTGCTTTGTCTCTTGTGCAGTACCAGAATCGCAATACCTTTGATATCAAACTTGGAGTCAAAGGATTAGTTGACATTCTTTACCCCCTCGAGAAGCCCACATTTTCACTTGTCCGTCATACTTGATCTCATAGTACTTTGGAAACGAGGCGCACGAAAGCGGTCTCTACGACGAGCTACAGCGCCAGTTTGAGCGTGCTAGCATCAAGACTTCAACGAGTCTAGCTGCTCTCAATTTCGGCCAGGTGGCCATCTTCTCCGCCGGTCTGGCTGCTACGATGGCCGTGGTGGCAGGTCAAATCGACCCTTCCGCCATCGCCACTGCTGCTGCCACTACCACTGCAGCCACTTCTGGTCTCACTGTTGGTGATCTGGTACTGGTTAATGGTCTTTTGTTTCAACTCTCTGTACCTCTCAACTTCCTTGGCAGCGTTTATCGCGAGATCCGTCAGTCTCTTGTCGACATGGCTACTATGTTCAGGCTCTTGGAGATTAAACCGAAAGTTTGGGTATATTCTTCTCACTATCACCACCGTGATCATTTTGAGTCTTTCTTCTTGGATGCGTTTGTATTTAAAAAGGCAGTTAGTCCTTGAAGAAAGTAAACTTGTGGAGCCTTTTTGTTTCTCTCGTCCTATAGTCTCTGCCAGGCGCTCCAGCGTTAAATGTGACCAAAGATACTGCGAGCATCGAATTTCGTGATGTCTGCTTCTCCTACCAGAAGGGTGCATACTTTCCTATGAAAATCTGCAATAACCTCTCATTTAAGGTAAGTGACAAGCTTCTCAAGTGATCACTGCCACGACAACGACGACGACCTAGTTTCTCGTTTGCAGGTGGAGCCAGGTCAGCGAGTGGCAGTTGTGGGGGAGAGCGGTAGTGGCAAGTCGACTCTTGTGCGCCTACTTTACCGATTCTACGACGTCGACGCTGGCTCAATCTTCATCGGAGGTCAGGACATCCAATCTGTGGACCTGGCGAGCCTCCGCAAGTCCATTGCCGTCATTCCTCAGGTTAGCCACAGCAGCTGTCGGTCTCATTCATGCGATGTTGTATTATCTGTTTATGAATTGAAACCAAAAAAATGTCTCCAAAGCCATACTAAAACAGAATCCCAATTCAAAATCTCCACTTAATCCCAATTTCCTCCAAGTGTAGGATACTGTACTCTTCCACAACACAATTTTCTACAACCTTAAATACGGGAACCTCGATGCCACTGACGACGAGGTATACGAAGCAGCAAGGCTTGCAGATTTGGAGCAGGCCATCCAACGCATGCCCTCGCGTTATGAAACACAGGTCGGTGAACGTGGTCTAAAGCTCTCGGGCGGTGAGAAGCAGCGTGTCGCAATAGCCAGAGCCCTACTAAAGAAAGCTCCCATCCTTATCTATGATGAGGCGACCTCCTCTCTCGATACCATTACCGAAGGAGTGAGTCTTTACTAATTGTTTGCAAAATGCAGCTTGTAATATCGCAAAATCACGTCACCATCTTCCATCTCTCTCTCTTTTAGACGATTCTCCGACGTCTAGCAAGAGCCACTCCCGGAATAACTTCCATTGTGATTGCGCACCGTCTGAGTACGATTGTTGACGCCGATCGGATAATTGTCCTTCGCAGAGGAAGTGTATTTGAGGAGGGGACACACAAAAGCCTTCTGGACATACCTGACTCCTATTATTCCCACCTATGGTATCAGCAAATGGCTAGCAAATCCGATGATGGCAACATCCGGAGCTAAAAGCGACTCCACTCTCTTCCAAGTGTACGCTGATACTGTGTCACCTTGTAATCCTGAACCGCGTGTTCTTTTCATTTCCAGAAAAAATGACTGATTCAATGTAAAAAAGTACCATAAATAGCAGATCTCTTTATTGTTTCGAGGAAGCACATGATAATGATTAGAACTCTAGAAGAGTCACCCTTTGGGTAATCGCATTGTAAATAAGAGGCTGACAGATGGGCACGAATTGATGGGTGATGAGTTTGATTACTTCCTGAGCTGCGATGCCTCCCATGAAGGCGGCAATGGAGTGAACTTCACCGCCTCCAAAGCGACACATCTCCTAGGAGGTCAGAAGTGGAATGACGATTAGTATGTTTTAGTGCTCCTCTCTTGGACAGAGTCTAGGTGGGTGGAGAAAGTGGTGAGTTTCATTGAGATTAGTAGTGCGGACCCTGATAGCCTTCAGAGCGGAATCTTTAGTGGCGCTGTCTAGCGTAAGTCTGTTCTAGAAGGTTGAGACACGAGCAGCGTATCAGCTGCAGCCCTAGTGCATCTGATCCTCAACACCTTTGCCTAGTTGACACGTTGGGTACTTGAAATGGAACTAAATGGAAGCAAAATCAAATGCCCTATCGAAGTTGTGAAGAGCTCACATGCACAAAGTCGTCCGAGACTCGGTTCACAGCTACTCCACTGGCCGTGAGTACGCGATTCACGTGACCCCTCAGACAAGGCATGTCGAGCTCCACAATGTGAGGAGAGAATTGGTCATCGCCGCCCTCAGCGGTGGCCACATTCGGAGTCGATGCTCCGCACGGACTGCCCGGCCATCTCCCGTGCTCGGAGTAAAAACTGGCTGCACCGCGCAGCATGAAGTACCACAACATGGCATCATTCTCCTCCTGCGCTGGAATCAAATCTGCAGACAACCAAGGGTAGCACTATTTTGGAGGTCCTCTTTCTACAGACGTGTAGAGGCAGTTAAGTCGGCAGTAAAGACAAGCTAGTAGGTGAACCCTGCGAAATGAAGCGCAGAATGGTTAAAATAGGTGATATGAATGCCACCACTAGAAGGTAGGAATACAAAGACTCTTTGGTTCCATTTAAGAAAGGCTGCGATTCAGAGATGAACAGTAGTTGAGACTCGTGATTTAAGAACAGAGAAGAGCAAGGGGTGCTCACTGCTCACCTACAATGTTGCATTTGCCATATCACTCAATTCCCCCAAGTGCTTTCGCACCCAGATCAACCTAAACTTCTTAATACATCCAAGTTAATTGCCCTCCGTAATTCATCAATGCAACTACAACCTTATAAGTCAGTACGTGAATATGGGAAAGCGGGGAGGCATGAAAGGCGTGTCAACTCACGCAGATCATCTGAGCGAGCTGGTGAGAGTTTAAGCTCTTCCTCGAGGGATCGACATTTAATCACGCGCAGGTAGGCTGCGTTGCGAGCTGAAACAAACAAGGAGTTTACTTTACAATTAAAACAAAGCAAGCAAGATTAAATATGAAGGAGGTCTCCGAACCCAGAAGCCTCACGTCCTCCAAACGCAGTTCATCCATCTGCAGATCAAAAGATAAATTAGATCCAAAGTTTAGATATGGCAATACAACGAGAGAAGATGCTCTCCTCGACTCACATGAGATAGACGAGAGGCCAGATGTTCCACAGCTGTTTCAGCGGCTTCTCTATAAGTGGCCAGAAGCTTCAGGTAACGACTCGAACTGGAGGTCATGTCAGGAAGATCGCCACGAAGAGGCAAATTTCCTCCGCCCTCGTTCATTGTGTACTGCTTTAATGCACCCACCATTTTCCAAAATGACGACATTGTTAAATTTCCTACACCGCTCGTCGACTTGGATGACTAATAAAGAAAGTCAGTAAAATAGGCGTATTAAGTACTCGTTCCAGAGTCGACCGGTCCTCGGGACCTCCGCACCACTGACATCGACAATCTTCGAATATTTGAAGGACCTCAGGTGGAATCTGCAAGGAAAGAGGTATGGTAGAATATATTCGTGCTCATAGGTAACGAAGCAGTGAAAAAGCTCAAACTCACTTCCGTTACAGAGATAGCTGTGTTCACAGCTCTCGCTGCCTCTTGAAAATTTTGCAGCTCAAAATTGGGCTCCGAAATTTCCCCGCGCAAACGGCACTGTGCCAAAAGGCAATCAGCAGCTAAAAGCAGTAACGAAGGCTAGTCAACTAACCAGTAGTTATCAGTTTGCGAACTTCTTGCTTATCTGAATATGATGCTGGAAAGCGACCGTTCTGTAACGAGAAAAGAGTAAATGAGAGGTGTTCGACAAACGATGAAAATCAGACTAACTATCATAAAAAATACCTCGTTTTGAAAACGACAAAGAAACTTGTATACAATAATTAGCCATGGCACTTGGGAGAGCTGACTGACAGGAAGGGAATCCAAATCGTTTTCAGGATCGTTAGCCAAACGAACAAAAGCGTCTGGGGGGTTGTCAAGTCGAAAATCGGGTTTGATCGAATCGGGATGTGACTCGATAATTGCATGTTCTTGCACAGAGACACGGAGGAGGCCAATAAACCCAACGCTGACGCAGATAATGATGGGTATGTGGACTTGAGAAACGATCCTACTAATTCGAAGAAGCTGGCTACGCAAAAGGGGTAACTGCGACAATCAACCCAACATACCTTTCAAGAATGTTCGTATAGACTATAGCGTCAAATTCCAAAAAGAAGTTAGGATCGTTTTCAATTAAATTATCGAGGTTCTCAACCAGGAATTTGCCACGGACCTCAGTGTTCATTTCGGAAAGCCATTCTGTGACAACCTGTGCTCTGGGCTAAAGTAATTAAAATGAGAGAGCAAGAACTACCTTTCCGATGGCAAGCGACGTTACAAAAAAGCTAATAATAAAAGTTATCGTATGATAAACACGAACTTGCTGCCTAAGTCTCGTTTCGTGACAATGGCATCGTCCACGATGGTGAATCCACCGATACCAGGTAATACCAAGTTTTTAAGCAGCTCAGATCCAACTGCATTCGCCCCTAATACGCATACATTTGCAGTGCCCAACTTCTCTTGACCTCGATCGCCCCACAGACGCAACTGCCGGTCATACCTTTGTTCCCTTGATAAAGTCATAGACGACATCGCATTTGGTATTCAAAGCAAAAACACACGCATTTAAAAACCCCACTGACATTTTCGTAAATAACACTTGTGGTTATAGTAAATGTATGAGTTTTCCTTTTGAAAAAAATTAATTAAATGCTGAATTTAGCAACTAATAAAGCATATGACGCGAAATTAATGGATGTAGTTTCATTTTTTTTACAATTTAAAATGATTGTGCCAGATGTTTAATATTTTAGTGCAGTCCGGTCACCTACTACAATTTAGTTACTAGATTCGAGTAAGCCTTTTAAAATTGTAGTGTTCCAGATGTAGTACCTTGTGTTTGGCAGATACTTTAGGATTCCTCTGGCCCTTATACGCGTAGGTTGGCCTCCGGGCCAACATTTGACTTATTTTCGGTTGCTCCCGGAAATACATGTATTTATCCAACGGGAAGTCGTAGGACGCTATACTGAGATTTCCCACTAGTCAAAATAAAATATTAGCTTGGCCGGGAAACCTTTGGTCTCGTGGAGTAGAAAGGATTAGGGCTTTAACCTACCTGAAGGCCAGACAATTACCCAAATAACTGAGAAACGTCAAGTACTAACATAGGTAGAGTATTACACTACCTTCCTCTTCTGAGTAACGGCCTCAGTACTCCACCTGGTACATCTCCGGTGCCGGACATCGCAACACACCTATCGACGCAGCGAGGCAAACTCAAGAACCACCCGCACCTACCATCTGCAACCATTAGATTGAGGAATGGCACTTGAACCCCTTAATATCTTCAACTTGATCTAGACTTGCGTTCGGCTTGACAGCCGGAATCAGAGCTGTACACATTGGTTAATAACCAATTGCTTCCAGGACTAGACGTTGGAACACTGATCCAAAGCAGACGCTTAACAAAAGAGATGGGACCAAACACAGTTAAATATGTGAACCATGTCATTTTCGATATCCATACCCGGATGTGATATGGCGAATTATTAAACGAAACTTGTCTGTGGTGGTGTATAACGCAGATATCATTCTTAACTCATCTGCTGTAAAGAATTTGGAGGATCTCCTGTCCTGTGTACATGAGCGTCCTTCGCATCGTAGACATATGCCACAAACGGTGCCTCAAGTCTTCCTACTAGGTAGAAAGTTGGGTGGAATAGGTTTATTCTAGGGATAGAAGAAGGGACTTGACCTTAAAGTTGGCTCTACGGCCAGTTCTCACGTCGGAGGTCAGACGAATACTAAAGTGACCACCAGAAAACCGAAAGTCGTATACACAAAGTATTGCAAGCAGTCCCTTTTAGTGTGGGCAATGAACCAATTCAAACTTCTTGCCTTAGGAAAAGCGTTCACCGTCGTGGTGTTGGTCTAATTTTGTTAAAGGAATTATTCTGTGAATAGATACAATGCCAGGATTTTGTATAACATTTCCAGGTTATTTGTCGTGTGGATTCTGAAAGCTAAGGCCTTCTATACGCAATTGAATGCATGGAAAGTGCTTATACCTTCACTAAAGGTTGCTCGACATCTAAACTTTCAACGTTACACACCTCGGCATCAACGACTATGATGACAGCTCCGTTGACAAGTCAGACACTGACGCACTGACTCAGTACTGCATAAGTGATACTCACGTGACCCGCACCTCCGTCTCCAACATTCTCAGTGCCCAAATCCACCTTCTCTATGAGTGAGTTGTGTTGTTGTCCTTCTAATTCTCATTCTCCTCTTCCTCTTCCTCCACCTCCTATTGTATAAGTTATTCATACAAAAAGAAAATCAAGATCATGTATTACGTGAAAAGTAAATATGCATCATTTTTAACGAAAAAGACTTTACGAAATTAGTTAATTAGATAGTTTGCTGCTGAGGTTCTGTATTTCTGCTTGATCAGGAATCTGCTTTCACTGTGTACTATCGTTCATGGATGGAGAGTGTGAATATATTAAAAATGGGGCGTCTGTACAATGGCCCTCGTCGGGAGCTGCAAAAGCAGTGACGGCATAATTTGTGGTGGGAAGAGAAAAGCGACTGTCAAGGCACATGACCCGTAGCCTTACCAGAAGTTTTGACCAGCAACCTTTCCTCTTCACCTCTCATGTTTACAGGTTCTACAAGGAGTGAAGATTCTGTATCCTCCAGTGTTTACGGTGAACACCCTGCTCAAATTAAAAAACGGATGGTCTAAGCATCTGTTAACGTCGCTTCCTCCTGTTACACGCGCTATACGCAGGAAGTGCCGTTGGGAATTCAAGAATTCACTCTCAAGTGGACCCCTTGTATCAACATTTCCCCTTTGGGCAAAAATACACATGATTTCCTGATTACTGACATTTGCGTCGAAAATTTTTGGATAAAGCAAAATATGATACAGCTATCTCCGAATAAAAATGACTCGAGATGGAGCAAAGTAGCTTACTCCTCCATCGCTTAAAGTAACCATATTGCAAGCGATTGCAAATAAAATCCCGCGTACTTTTATGCCCCATCGTTCAGTCGACCAGCAGACAGAACACGGCATGCAAAGTTAGGAGCTTTAAAGTTACCTGTGCAGCTCTTGACTCCTGATATCTTAAGGCGAAGGTTGGTGCCAAACTTCGTGATCCAGAAGTGGGGACTTTGGATCGTACTGTAGTGGGAGAGGAGTTATGCTTCCCATTCTGTGCCCTGGCTTTTCGATTTACTTTACTCTTCCGCTTTGCAGTCTTTTTGTTCTCTGCCCTCTTGCTGGTTTCAATCTTTCCCTTTCCTATTTCCTCCTGCACTTGCGGCGGCGGCTGCTGCTGCCTCTCCTCCCCCTTTCCTTCGTCTTCTTTCTTTTCCACCTCCTCCTTCTTTTGTAAAACGGCCTTTTCTTCACTTTCTTTATGCTGAAAGATACCCTCTATTCAGATAAATGTTTTCCTATCTAAAACTATCTTCTAAATGTAATATACTTCTCCCTTAGAAGTCATAAACAATAATGTGTGCATGTAAAAAGCTTATGTGATGCGATTTCATGAGAAAACAAAAGTACTGATGCCTCCAAAGGAATACAATTACAAAAACTACTCTTAGTTAACCTACCTCGCTTGGTTCCTTTGTAAGGTAGCCTAACATGGAAAGAATTGACATTAATAATAAAAAAGGTTACCAGCTGTTGAAGATGAGAGGTTAATAGGATGAGTGGTATTCCAAAAAAACATGAACCTTAACTTGACAACTTACAGATGGTTTGAAACGAAGCATAAAATACTGATGAAAGAAAGCTGATACCGCCTATACGCATCCATACGTACAGCAAAGCGGTTGTAACACAATGTAGTGCCCCTCGGAAACCGGTCCATAGCATAACGGCTGAATGACATTAAAGGCAGGGCTCGATGCTACACCGTCAACGGCGGACATGCAGTTTGTTGCGACTTCGGGACATATTTGCGACTGCGGATCTATCTGCTGACTTGCTCCAAGCAAAAGATTTTGGGTAATGCTTAATCTGCCAGGAGAGTTGGGCGGTAGGGACATTTGGGGGCTGAGATGTTCGGGAGTCGAAGAATCAGGGGAATAATTAGTCGGCTGCATGTAGACATTGCTAAACGGAACTGTCGTGATGGTCACCTGAGACGGCCAACCTGAAACTTGTTTGGAGCAATTATTAGCCGGTCGACCGGATACCGTCTCGAAAGGAAAAGTAGCAGTTTGATCTAGATGAGTGTCAGATAGTGGACAGAATTCCTCGATATCCTGAACAGGGGAACGTAATGGAGACTGAGATTGCTGCAGAAACGGTTCCCGAATCGGTGCACAGCCTTTACCCATGGAAGGATCCATTTCTCCTGAAAACCTAAAAGAGAACTTTGTTGGAAGACTCAGTCTATATAGAGCTAAGAGTTAGCAGTAGGTCGAAGTCCCACGAAAATGTGGTTTGAAAAATCAGGTTCAATTAGCCTTTCTAAGACTTGATACGAATGAGAGTTATCGAAGTGTAGTTCGTGCATCTGCCGTCTAATTACATAAAACATGATATCAACATTATAACAAAACACAAGAATAATCATTTCATTAATCACAACGCGTAAAAGTAGATTCGCCACAGCAAATACAATGTGCAGAGCGCTAAGGTACATTTATTTAATTAACTAATTACACGGTGGACAGTTACAAAACACATGTGTTATGATGGCATAGGAACTTTCAACCACAAAGGATTTATCACATGCTTTATTGCTACTTACTTGGTGATTCTAAACTAATAAACAAAGATGGAAAAGTTTGTTTACTGTATTTGGTAAAGCAATCAGACCCGCGAGAACTGAATAATATGTGTAAATATTAAAAATATGGCGGCTTTTGTCAAGGTTAAATTAAGAAATGCAATTTTTGGACCCAATGTACCTAGACTTGCACTACGTTTAGCTACGTTTGTGTAATCACTTACACAAACTAAATGCGTCTTTGAATTTTACAATAATGATGATTATATTTTGCAGTTTAAAACAAAGATAATTATCCACTGATATATTTGGTGCATTTGCTACAACGCACAAAAGGAGGCTCACAACAAACTGTTGAACAATGATGCCTAATGCACAAAGTGGTCTAAATTTCTATCATTGAAAGTATTTAAATTAATAATGATTCTTATTGTAATATATGCTAGTGTCGCGTTGACTTATATAAGAGAGAGTCGGGAATCGAGTTCAAATGCGTGTGGATCGTGAGGTCTCCTTCCTGGATGACATCTGCTATTCGTCTCATCCGTACTCCTATCTTCGTTCCTCTTTTAATCGATGCTTAATAAGCCTACTGCAACTAATCCTATCTTAAAGTTCGTGGTTCAAGTGTATGAGGGTAAACAGGCAGTTTCTACATTTGTCATTCCTTAAGTAAATACTCGATTCACAATTCTAACATTAAGAAAGGTTAAGTAGTACCGTCATCTCTAAAGCAGAAATCGCATCAACACAAATTACGTTGAAATTACCTCCACCGTGAAATAATGCATATACCCCTCCCGTCATTGGGTGAGAAACATGTTTCATTTGTCCATCGAAAAATCAATGCAATAAGCCCTCGTCCATAAAAAAAACTAAACCTTGTTGGCTTCGCTGCATTTGATTAATGTCAAAAGTAGCCGTCTATTTCAATAGCGAGGGGAGAGGAAGGAGAGACTTAAGTGATCTTCTTTGGGTCGTACGAAAGGACATTACACATATTCTTATGTACTGCTCCTCCTAAAAGATTGCCATTAAAACAAACAAATGCATGTTCATAACAGTTCACTCTTTAAGCGCAGAGTTGGACAGTTGTGATCTCTGCAATGCATACGGAGCTATTTAATATGGGTTTTGAAGTTCAGAGGTTATATGCAAGGTTGTGAGTCATGCTTGAGGAACCGAGCAAACGCTGCCCCTAGAACTTATTATAACCATCCAACTCCTCTGCTATCATTTGTAATCTGAAACAAATGCTTAGTAAACCCAACACGAGCAACGTTTCCCCCAGAGTGCAACCATACGGAAACTGAGAGGGATCGAGCAGAAGCCACGATCCCATCCAAGTCTAATCAGTTAAGTTGAAGGCATCGTCATATTTCTAAAACCGGCATATACTTTTGATGGGCTCTCTGATTTTGCATCAAAAAGCCACTGCAATTCACCAGGCCTTGGTTTAGGTCATCCTTTAGGTCGAATAACGTAATAGCATGGAGTATGACGTTATGATAGGCCAATATATGGCAAATTTTGCCTCTTTGGGAACCGAATGATATAACAACAGAAAGACTGACATCAATGGGTGTCATTCGGTTTTATTTTAGTCAATTTAAAGGTCAAATGACATAAAAGGTAGGAAAGTAGAGCTCCCCGCACATTAATATGGGCTCGCTTTACTAATCCAATGATATAATACTTGAGACGATGATTCTACTTGGAGACTAAAGCCGTATTTTCAGGCAATTACGACGGTCTAGTGATTTAATATACTGAAAATGACGTCGTCAAAGCTCATTTAACTTCGCTCTAAGCAGCTTCGAAGGTCACATGACGTATTAATTGGACAAATGAATATGATAAAGGCAAATACCAATTACTTTGATAGCACATTGCATTAAATAATAGACGATGTCATTAGGGTTAAAAGTAACTGAAGACATAAGTAGTTACCTCTGTAGGGACTGCCCTCTTACCCTAATGCTCTTGAACCACGGACTTTAAGTGAGGATTAGTTGCAGTAGACTTATTACGCATTGACAACAGGAAGAACGAGGATAGGAGTACAGATGAGCTGAAAAGCAGATATCACCCGGAAAAATATTACTCACCGTCCTCACACCCGGATTTTGCGTTCCAATTCGCTTCCCATCTCTCTCTCAGTCTCTATTACAACTCCATCAATGGGAAGGCAAATTTATGTAAAAATTTACGATGCGATGTCAATAAAAGCCATTAGCTTGCATCTGTTGCGTAAGTAAGTCATATGACTAAATACCGAGACAAATTTGGTAAATGTTGTTCTCCAGACCCAGTTTCTCTTAAATGCAATAACTTAGATGTGTAATATCGAGATTACTAGTGTATTTATGTGGTGCCAGTGGCCATGTTTTAAAATAGAATTACAAAAAAAGGCAATAAGTTGATTAATTTTGTGTTGAAAGTACTTGCTCTGGTGATTGGCTGCCCTCAACGTCAAGGGCAAATCCTGCCCTTGTCCTGCGTTTCTAAAGCCTTGGCAAGCAGCGGGCAGCAATTGGCATATTTAGAGGTCATTAGACGCGGAAATTGGCCTTTGGTAACATTAACTTTCGACTTGGAGGTAAACTCTTGTTTAATATCAGAATTATATGCCCTATGACTTCACTCTTAATCAATCGCTCCCTTCTATCTGATTGGTTTGCCTCAGATTCAAAGGGGAGCCATAGTCTTGAGTTAGCACCCTTAAAGGCCACCTACATATCCTTGGGATCATCGTCAGCCCACCGAACGGCAGTCCGCGTAAACTAGCAGAATTAATTTGCTATAACACCACCACACTCTACACATATCAAGATGAAACCTTAACCCCTGCATAGGCCCAGTATGCTCAACGACTTCCCCTCTGAGAGCATTTTAATCTCAACTCCACCCAACTTCTTCCCGTCTGCCCGACTAGCATTGGGCTCCACTCCCTTCTCTCCCAATCCCAACACGCATGCCCTTATTAGGCTCTCACTTGTGCCCAGCATCCTGCTTTACCACCCAGATCGCCATCACTTCCGCTTCCCGCACTAACACCATAACCTCAACCCTTCCTGCCTTCCTTCCTTCCTTCCATTTTCTTCCACATAATCACCACTTCCTGTGAATTCTCCCACACACAAATACCTTCTTTGTCTACACCAAAATTACCATTTAGCTTAATCATTTCATACCCTCTTCCACGTCATTACCACCACCAGCGGCACCACCTTCCCTCCACCCTTTATTTCATCTCATCTCATCTCATCTAGCCACTTCCATATTCACCGCATTCGTGCACGCACGAGTGGGGCACGACAGGCCAGTAATGCCATTACGTATTCAAACTTCTAAGCCCTTCAAAGGATACCTTTCTCGCAGTGCCTGCTTTATCTTCCCATACTTCCTCTTCTTCTACTATCAAACGCCACGACACCTTTACGATTTATCACACGCACATGCACCTACACACCTCTATTTGCCAAGGATGTCTCCTTTCTCCC